TTTACCCCTCTCAGCATATCGATTTTACTTCTGTTTATATATTTTTTAGTGGGTGGCCAAGAATTTGCAATATATTCATTTACAACTAATTAAGTCAACTCTCAAATAACCCTATACCTCTTCACAGGTAGTGCCAATACATTATAATAATTACATAGACTAAGATACTAATTTCTCCCTCCTACACCTTATAACATTCCTGCCATTCATTTTACTTATCCATATTCTAAAATTACCTAACACATCACTATTATTACTTTGTGCAATTATCTTTTAGATCACTTAAAATAAAAGATTTTACCTTCAGGTATTCCTCTCTGTGCTTTTCCTTTCTTTATAGAGATCTGATTTTTTAACCTACATCATTTTCCTTTTCTCTGAAGAACTTAAAAACAAAACAAAACATTTCTTGTAAGGCAGGTTTACTGGCAAGAAATTCCCTCAGTTTTTGTTTGTCTGATAAAATCTGTTTCCTTCACTTTTGAAGGATACTTTTGCTGAATACAAAATGCTAGGTAGGAGGGGTTTTTCTTTTTTCATTACTTTAAATATTTCATGCCACTGTCTTCTTGCTTGCATAGTTTCTCATGAGAAATCCAATAAAGTTCTTATCTTTGTTTCTCTGTAGGCAAACTGTTTCCCCCCACCCCTGGTTGTTTTCAACATTTTCTGTGTCTTCCATTTTCTGTGTTTGAATATGATAAGCTTAGGTGTATTTTTTTTGGTAGTTATCCTGCTTGGTGTTCTGCTCAGATCCTGTATCAATGGTCTGGTACCTGTCATTAATTCTGGAAAATTATTGGCCACCATTACTTCAGACATCTCTTCTGCTCCTTTCTCTCTTATCCTTCTGGTATTCCAATAATGGGTATGTTACACCTTTTGAAATTGTCACATAGTTTTTGAATATCCTGTTCATTTTTTTTTTGAAGTCTTTTTTCTGTTTGCATTTCAGTTTGGGAAGTTTGTATGGACATGTCTTGAAGATTACTGATTCTTTCCTTGGCTGTAACCATCTACTGATAAGCCTATCAAAACCATCATTTCTATTATAGTGTTTTTCATTTCCAGTATCTCCTTTTGATTCTTTCTTAGAGTTTCTATTTCTCTGCTTACATTGCCTATCTTGTTTTTGCATGTTCTGTAATATTTCTCATAGACTCTTTGGCATTTAATCACAGCTATTTTAAATTCCATATATGTGATCATTCCAAAACCTGAGGTGTATCTGACTTTTGTTGCGATGCTTGTTTTGTCTTGAGACTGTTTTTTTTTCTTTGAGCATGCCTTATAATTTCTTCTATGTTGAAAGCCAGACATGATGTATGATGTAACAGGAACTGAGGTAAAAAGGCCATTAGTGTAATGTTTTATGTTAATCTGGCCAGGAGTTGGGCTGTGTTTGTTAATGTCTGCTCTAACTGTAGGTGTCACAGGATTTCAATTTCCTCTAATGTCCTTGTTTTTGTCTCCCATGTTTCCTTTGAATTTCCCTAAAAACTTCTTAAATAGAGTCTGAGCCTTGCAGGCCTTTCAGCTGTAATCCACAGTCATTGCACTGAAGCCCTGTTCATGCGGTGGTAAGGTGTAGGGTAAGGGGAAACATCCTTTAATCCTATACTCAAGCCTCAGTCTTTCAGTATGCCTGTGACCCCAGCCTGTACCCTCAGAAGTGTTTCAGAGCTTTTTTTTTTCCCCCTCATCCTCTCTTAGATGAGACAGGAAGGTTAGAGGGGCCTTAAGTTAAATGATTTCCCTTCTCCCACACTGGAGAAGGCTTTGGTAAAGTTATTTTACTTGTTGGATAGTCCTTTTTTAGATGGAAGCTCTGAGTCTGTTTCAAAATTACTACTTTTCTGTTTCCCGTGCCAGAAACAGATAGTTTTCTTGGCTCTTCAACTTGAGAACCTAGTGGGGTTCTGGGAGGTACTTATTGACTAAATCCAGAGGCACCATGGCTACCATATATGGTGGTTCTATGAATACTACCTGATTGACTACTAGCCAGGAACAGATTTTTTTCTCGGCTCTTCAACTTGAGAACCTGTTATGTTCAAATACTAATCTTTACTCTGTCTCAAGCAATTTGTCAAAGTTACCAATTAAGTATTCCTACCAGTTTATGGCTCCTGATAAGTAGATGTGGGCTGTGATTCTTGGTAATTGCCTGTCTCTCCAGATTTAGGGGTGGCAGTTTGCTCTGTCACTTCAATTCTCTGATGGGTCCAAGGAAGACTCATTGATTTTTAGTTTGTACGGCTGTTTTTCTTGTTGTAAGACAGGAGTGATGACTTCAAAGCACTTTATACGTTGGAGTTGAAAACAGAAGTCTGCAACCACCTTTTTCATTCAACATTGTTTGTGAGCTGCATCTACACTGATAGCTGTAGTTTTATTTTATCCATTTTCTCTACTGTATAGTATTCTATTTTATGAATATACCATGCTTTTCCTACTGATGAACATGTATGTTGTCTATAAATAATGTTACCATGAGTATCCTTATAATACTTAATATGCATGTATAAGAATTCATCAAGGATAGATACCTAGGAATGGCACTGCTGATTTATACTGTATGAGCATCTTCCGTTATTCTATATATCACCACAATGTTCTTGAAAGTGGTTGTTCTCATTTATCTACAGCTAGAAATATATTAGAATTCTTAATGTTCCATATGTTCACTAACACGTAGCACTGTCATGCCTTTATGCTAACATCCTGGGTAGTAAATGGTATCTCATATAGTTTTATTTTGTATGTCTTTGATTGCTAATGAGACTTAATAAGTTAATTGAACAATCATGTTTTCTCCTCTGTGAATTGCCTATTCATATCTTCTGACCATTATATTGGGTTGTTTGTATTTTTCTTAACTGATTTGTAGGGAGGGATTTCCTTAAAATGACTCAAAAGGCACAAACTATCAAGTAAAATACTGATGATGTAATTATATTAAAATGAAAGTCTTCTGCTTAATGCAAGAAGTGATGTTAAATCAGAAGCGATGTTAAAATGATAAGCCACTCACTGGGAAAATATATTTGCTAAATAAGCAGAAAGGGTTTGTATTCAGAATTTTAAAATAATCTCTGTAAGAAATATGAAAAACTAAACAACTAAATCCTAGGTAAAAAGGAACAAGCAACTTAAAGAAGGTTCTTGAAAGGTTAATAAATGTATAAATACATGCATAATTTCATTGGAAATCAGAAACATACAAACTAAAACAATGAAATACCTTTCAGATGCATTAGACTGGCAAAAATAAAAAGTCTAATATTGCGAAGTATTGACAAGGATGTGAAAGAGATCTCTGAAACCCTGCTCATGGAGTTGAAGATATACATATCCTATATACATAATAATTCCACTCCTAGGTATGTAATCGACAACAGTGATTCTTAAAACATCTCTCAGACCAGCAGCAGCAGCATCTCTTGGGAATTTGGAAATGCAGATTCTCAGGCCTTGCTCCAGATCTACTGAATAAAAATTCTGGGGGCAGAGCCAAGCAATCTGTTTAAACAAGCCTGTCAGGTGATTCTGGTGCATACTAACATTCAATGATTGCTGCAACAAAGCAATATTTTTCCAGCTTTTTTGACTAAGACCTACAGGAAGAAATGCATTCTGGCCCACACACATCTATTCCCCCTTCTCTCATGTGTGTGTGCATATACATGCAAAACAAAACCTTCAATAAACAGTAATTAATATTTATATTTTATTGATATCGATATTTTTGCCGATGGTGACTTACTTATTGTATAGTAATATTTGTTGCAGAATTCTCTGTAATAAAAAAATTAAAAGAAAAAATCTTCAGGAGATTGGATAAATTAATTATACTATATTTCTACAGTGGAATACACAGTTCTTTATAGAATTAGAAATAAATTTCAAAACCATGTATATTGAGTTTAAACATCAGCCCTAGCTGGTGTGGCTCAGTGGATTGGGCGCCATCTTGCGAACTAAAGGGTTGCTGGTTTGATTCCCAGTCAGGACACATGCCTGGGTTGTGGGCCAGGGCCCCAGTAGCAGGTGCGTGAGAAGCAACCACACATTGACGTTTCTCTCCCTCTCTTTCTCCCTGCCTTCCCCTCTGCCTAAAAATAAATAAATAAAATCTTTAAAAAATTAAAAAAATAAAATACATTATAAAAAATAAATGAAAATCAAGTTATAGAAAGGTATGTAGATATAATTTCCTCTACATAGTTTTAAAATATGTAAAATTATATGTTGTTTAGAAATATATAGCTATGTAGTAAAAATATAAAACAAAGATTATTTACAAGTTTACTTAGATATTTGTTAATTTCTCAAAATTTAGAGGCCCTGTATTTTCACTTTGCTCTTAACTACCAGCATCTTAAAGTCATACATCATATGAAAGCCAGGTGGAACATTTGGAGTAGCCAAAGAACAATGAACAATGGCGTGGGGACTGCCTGAGGGAGTGGGAGGTGCTGGGTAGAGGGGGGCAAAGGGAGAAAAATTGGGACAACTGTAATGGCATAATCAATAAAATATAATTAAAAAAAAGAAAACTCACATGATAACAGCAAATCCTACTCACAACCATGAGATCAACAATTGACTAATTTCAGAGGCACCATGGCTCCCAGATATGGTGATTTTATCAACACTACCCGATTTATTATTAGCCTAGGAAACGGGAGGTTACCTTTCCTTCAACTCAGGTCTTCTAGTAGGTATGGGCTACAGTCTATTCAAGATTTCTTTAAAATACTAAGGGTAGCTTAGGACCTTAGAAAACCACAAACAACACCACAGGAAATGCACTACTTATGTAGTGTGCAGAGAAAGAATAGTCAAGATCAAGGAAAAACACAATCACTATGCCTATGTCATAACTCTTTGGTATAATCAAAGTGAACTTAAAAGTATTACTTTAGGTAGAGGTAAATTAAAATGAAATCAACCCGTGTTTTGTTTTGCTTTGTTTTTTTTCTTGGTTTAGCCTATACCTTGTTTGGTTCCCCTGGATTATATGAAGAAAACATAGGAATTTTTCGGATCTCTTCCTCTGACAAACGATTTCTCTGGATCTCATCTTCTGGGACAAATTCTATTGGCTGCGTCAGCTTCTTAGGCCCAGTCCAACACTGCTCAGGTGAATTATCAATAACTTTTGCCACATGGAGACTGGGACTTTTACCCTGTGCTGCCTGTTTTCCCTTGTCCTGGAGTAATGGCGGGTTCTCAGCTGTGCCACTATCTCCCACTGATGTAGCTGAGACCAGTGAGTGGGAAGCAAAGGGTTCACCTCTCATAAGTTGGAACTCTTCAAGACGTTTTTTCATTATCATCTCTTGGTAAAAACTTTCCAGGTTGTTCATGGGATCACCTTTGTTCTTCTTTTGGGGTTCATCTGGATCAAGACAAAGAGATATGGAAGTTCTACAAAGCCTACCAATAAAACCTTTAACAAATTAATAAAAAATTAAATCTTGGATCTCAGGCATAGAAACTCTGCTGGGGCAGGTGTTTACAACCAATGACAATAATATATAGCTATTTTATTGCAGTGCATCTCAAACAAGGCTGGGAGTACACTGAGGCAAGTGAGGCACCTGGGGTACAAAATTTAAAGAAGCGCTCATTCTCAGTCATGCAAGTACATATACCTAACTGATAAGGACATTTGAAAAATGTAACCAGTATGGCATTATCACACTTCACAAAATTAATAATTCTTTAATATCATCTAATACCAAGTTCATATTGAAATGGCCCTGATTATCTCAAAGATATCTTTTTACACTTGGTTGTTTAAACCAGTCTTTGGCTGTTATATCTCTTAAGTGCTATTATTTTAAAATAGTACCATTTCTTTCCCAATCCTCCAACTCATTTTCTCCCCCACCCATTGATTTATGAGAGGAACCCAACAAATGAATGTGACTGATTGTTCTTTATGGTATTATTTAACTTGTTCCTCAATCCCTTCCATTTCTTACAAACTGGCAGTTAAACCTAGAGCTATTCTGTCTAATACAGTATCCACTGGCCATACAAATCTATTTAAATTAATCTTTTAAATGTCAATTTCTCGGTTAAACTAGACACATTTCAAATGTTCAACAGCCACCTGTGGCTAGCGAATGCCATATTGGGCAAAAAAGATAAGGACCATTTACATCATTATACAAATTGCATTGGATAATGCTGATCTAGAGGTTTGATTGGACTCAGGTTCCATATTTTTAGGCAAGAATCCTCCATAGATAGGTGTGTACTTTCTATTATATCATAAGGCACATAATGTTTGGTGGTACCATTTTTAGTGATGCTGAAATTGATCAGTGAACTCAGGTGCTATTAGTTGGATCCCTCCATTATCAAGTTTTCCCATTCACCTTTCATCTAATGAGTTTTACATCCATTGATGACTATTGCCTAGATATAATAACTTATTAGGAGCTGTGAAACACAGCTCTCCTAATTATATTATTTCTTTGTATTTATTATCTAGAATTCTATAATAAACTTACCATCAACTAATTAGCTTCTCTATATACAGTTCATACAGGAAAGGCAGATAAATGTTTGATTTTTCCCATTATTTACCAACTATGAGAGTAATGACTTGGTATCTTAGAAATATCCAGTGGTAACCAATGATTATTTTTAGTATAATTGTGAGATCATGTAGTTTCATATACTTGGTGTGCTTTTCAGTGGGCAAATTACCCCACTTAGGACTACACAAGTCCCTTCTAATTGACTCCTGTATTGCTTTTTAGTTTTGTGGCACAGCAAGCTGCCCCAAGCTCATCTTGCACATTTTCTGACTCTACCCTGGAATATTTCTCCAAGGACTCCTGGCTCCTTTTAATGGGAAATAGTATTTAGAAAGCATAATGCGTTGCTAGGTGTGTTCATTGCCATTGAGTTGTTACTGCTTCTAGGCATTTTCAGTGGACAAAACCAAGACATTTTTTTAAAGAGAAAAATAAATTACACTGGTATTTCCACTTCAAATGTAAGATTATAAGGTTTTTACTCAAACTCCTTGATTTTAGACTTGTATATGTGTTTTCAAATATGCTTAAAATATTGGCTCTTAAGATTAAAAATTATTTATCACCTTTTTTCTGCAATATGTTTCTAGAATTTTAACATTTCAATAACAATACTAATATGACTATTAACAATGAAACTGCTGAATAGTTTTATATTTCTTTGCATTTACCTTTGTCCTTAAAATATATCCCCTTAGGAATGTGCACATATTGTTTCAAAGTCATTTTAAATAATTGCTTCCTCTGTGTTGTTATGCTACCAACTTTATAGTTTTAGGTTCATCTGCTTCAGGTTGCTTATGAATTGTAGAAATTGATGCTTTTTCCCTTTTAAAATTATGCAAAACATTTACGTGGGTCTAAAGTGAAAGCTGTGTTATACGGTACCTTCACAGGTATTTTACTTCCATCTCTGTCCCCTTCCTCTCTCTCCTTCCCTCCCTCACAAAAAATAATTTTATTAGGTTTTGGCTTTATGGTTCCATTGATTCTTTTTTGGAAATATAAGCAAATAGGCATATACACACATACATATGTATATATATGTGTATGTGTGTGTACATTTGTCATTAGTTACATCCCTCTCCTACTGTTTACAACGTACGTTCTGCACTTAACAATATACCCTTGAGATAACTCCATATTAATATGTATAGCTCTTTCCCATCCTTCTGAGAACTGCACAATACTCCACTGAGTGGATGTTCCATAGTTTATTCAACTACTCCCTACTGATGCACACTAGTATTGTATCCAGTCATTTTTGCTGTTATAAATAACGCCCTGACAAACAATGTTGTACATATAGGATTTTGCATTTTTCCAGTACGTCTTTGAAATAGATTTTAAGGTGGCTTTCTTAAAACAAAGGGTCAAATGTGTGTGTACTTTTTCTCTATATTGCTAAATTCCACATTGTATAAGTTGTACTATTCTGCATGTCCACCAGCAAGTTATGAGAATATGTATATGGAAGGATTTCTTAAGTCCCCAAAAGCACTAACCATTAAAGAAAAATGTTGACAAATTCAACTACATTAAAATTAAAAACTTCTGCTCATCAAAAATATCATAAAGAGAAAAGTCTTGGACAGGAAAAGATATTTGCTGCACAAACAACTGATAAAGAATACAACCATTAGGAAAGTGGGCAAAAATCAAAAAGGCTCCTCAAAAAAGATATTATACACATGGCTAATAAACACATCGACAATTACTCAATGACATTAGAATTCAGAGAAGAAAATACTAATAGAAAACTGCCATACTGCTGCAAAAAAATTAAAAAAACAAATACTAATATGACATATCAGTGAGATTGTAAAGCAAATGAAACCCTCATACATTGCTGGTAGGAATGGGCAACCACATTGCAAACCACTATGACGTCATTCACTAATGTTGAATTTATGCACATAAATATGACCCATCAATTCCACTCCTACATATAAACCATAGAAAAATTTGGGTATGTGTGCACCAGGATACAATAATAAGAATGTTTAGATCAGGGGTATTTACAACAGCCTGAAACTAGAAAAAAATACAAGTGTCCTCAGAAGAATCAATTATAAAATTACGGTAAGATTATATAATGAAATCTAACATTCCAGTGAAAGTAAACAAATTTCAGCTACATATGACCAAGTGGATGAATATCTTAATGTATACACTCAAAAATATTTATTCAGTGACTATTATGATCCTGTCATTATTCTAGGTTCTTGAGATACACCAATAAGTAAAGATTTCTATCTTCATGGAGCTAGGTGAATTATTAGAAGGTTCTTTTAGAAGGTTATGATTGCTCTGAAAAAGAAAAATACAGCAGTGTAAGATATGATTGGAAGTGCTAAGATGTGGTAGTGTTGTTGGTTGCACTTTTTATATTGGCCTGGGTGGGTCTCATTGAGAAGGTGACATTTAAGAGAAGACTTATAGAAAGTGAGGGAGTCTACCATGCTGATATTAGAGTGAGGATTCCAAGGTGGTAGTATGTCTCAAAGTTTTAAAAGACTGAAATCATACAATGTATTTCTCTGACCACAATGAAATCACATTAGAGATCCACTACTGGAAGAAATCTTGGAAAACACAAATATTTGAAAATTATACAACACACATCAAAATAACCTATAGGTCAAAGAACTCACACAAGAAATTTAAAAATATTTTGAACTAAATGAAAATGAAAACACAAAATACCCAAATTTGTGGATGTAGGCAAAACAGTGTTCAGAGAGAAATTTGTACCTTTAAACACCTACATCAGAAAAGAATAACGGTTTCAAATTTATAACCTGAGCTTCCAACTTTGGAAACTAGAAAAAGCAAACTAAACACAATTCAAGCAGAAAGAAGAAAATAATAAAGATTAGGGAGTAAGCCAGTACAATAGAAAACAGAAAAATGGAGAAAAATCAATGAAACCAAAAGCTGGCTCTTTGAAAATGTTAAGAAAATGAAAAACCCTTAGCTAGGCCGACCAAGAAAATAAGACAGAAGACAAAAAGGACTAAAACAAAGAAATAAAGAGGAAGCACCATTACTGAACTTACAGAAATGGAAACACTTTTTAAAAAGATTGTATTTATTTATGTTTTAGAGAGGGGAAAAATAGAGGGAGAGAAACATCAATGTGTGGTTGCATTTTGCACGTCCCCTGCTGGGGACCTGGCCTGCAACCCAGGCATAGTGCCCTACACTGGGAATCCAACTGGCGACCCTTTGGTTCTCAGACAGGCGCTTAATCCACTGAGCCACACCAGAGATGGCTAGGGATGGAAACAATTTTAAGGGAATATTATAAATAACTTTAGGGTAACAAATCAGGAAGCTTAGATGAATGGACAAATTCAAAGAAAGATACAAATTAGCAAAGCAGACTCAAGAAGGGAGAGCACAGCTGAATAAATCTATAATAAATAAAGAGGTTGAATTAGTAATCAACAAACTGACTGCAAAGAAAAGTCCAGATCCAGGTGGCTTCACTTGTGAATTCTACCAAACATTTAAAGAAATAACATTAATCCTGCACAAACATTTTCAGAAAAGAAAGGAAGAGAGAATATTTTCCAACTTATTCTATGAGGTCAGTATTAGATGGAAACCAAAGCTAAACATCAGAAAGACACCATACACAAAGAAAACTACAAACCAATATCCCTCATGAACATAGACATGAAAATATCTAATAATATATTAGCAAGCCTAATCCAGCAACATATAAAAATTGTTATACACATATAAGTAGGATTTATCCCAGAAACGAAATACTGGCTTACTATCTAAAGATCAATCAATATAATACATTATATTAATAGATTAAAACTTTAAACCATGTGAT